TCCAAATTGCCAAAAATTGAAAATGGGATGAAGTCCTATTTTTCAGAACTTAAACTCACTGCCCAGATTTTTCTTCTTCGTGAAGGTGGTCAGTGCCTCGCGTTCGCGAAGCACAAAATAGCTCCAGACCAAATTCCTCCCCATCACGAACGCGGCATCACCCTCTCGTTCGCGAAGCACAAAAATGCCTCTGCCTCAATGCCTTCTACGCGAATGCGTTTGACCCATCGCGAACGCGATGCTTCTTTCCCCTTCACTACGCGAACACGACACACCCTACGCGAATGCGTAGACCAATTGCCTGGGGTCTTCGGCTGCTTCCTCTCTTCTTCGCGAACGCGTAACACCTCTTGCGTTTGCGATGCACACCCAGTCCACCCTTCGCGAACGCGAGCTTCTCTTCGCGAACGCGAAGAGCAAATATTGCCAGCCTCTTAGTTCCTTTTCGCGAATGCGAGGCTCCACTCGCGAACGCGATGAAGGAAACCAGATGATGCATCAGAAAAATTCCAGCAGAGTTCCAATTCCAAAATCCAACCCATTAACCATCCGAAACTCACCCGAGCCCCTCGGGACCTCAACCAAATATACCAACAAGTCCTAAAATATCATACGGACTTAGTTGAACCCTCAAATCACCTCAAACAATCGTAAACCATGAATTACACATCAATTCAAGCCTAATGAACTTTGAAATTTCTAATTTTTACAAACAACTCCGGAACCTATCAAATCACGTCCGATTGACCTCAAATTTTGCACACAAGTCATAAATGACATAACAGAGGTATTCCAATTTTCAGAATCGGATTCCGACTCCGATATCAAAAAGTCAACCCTCCGGTCAAACTTGTCAAAAATTAAACTTTCGGCATTTCAAGCCTAATTCCTCTACGGACTTCCAAATAATATTCCGGACACGCTCCTAAGACCAAAATCACCATACGGAGCTATTGAAATTATCAAAATTTAAATCCGAGGTCGTTTACACATAGGTCCATATCCAGTCCACTTTTCTAACTTAAAATTTATAATTATGAGACTAAGTGTTTCATTTCACTTCGAGTTCCTTCCAGACCCGAACCAACTAATAATATGATATAACATAATATAGCTGAATAATACAAAAAGAAGTAGAAATGGGAAAAACAGGGTTACAACTCTCGAAACGACTAGTCGGGTCATTACAATAGATCTTTCCCGAAGCATTTCTATTGAGGGATGAATTTTTCATAGACATGTATCTTGTCCGAATCATTGATATTCGGGGATAGATCTNATATATATATATATATAGGATGGATCTTCCCTAGGCTGGATTGTCCATATACAGTATTGAGTGATTGAGTATTTTTAGATTGTGAGTACAAGAAGTTTTCACTAAGGCGGATCACATACAGTATGTGCATGGGCATGTAGATACAGAGATGTCATATTCCTCAAATTGTTCAGAATTTATCTATTTTACTTGTACTGAGTTTAATTGTTGAAATTAAAAGCATGCCTACATTTCTGTATTGTTATCTCTATACTGGACTGTACCTGCTGAGCTCGTCACTACTTTCAGCCCAAAGGTTAGTTTTGTTACTTGAGTTGGTTGTACTCATACTACACTTTGCACTTCGTGTACAGATCCATATACATCCGGATACGGCGGTGGTCAGAGTTGAGCATTTATCTGTTGGAGACTATCAAGGTAGCTGCTTGGCGTCCGCAGACCTTGACTCTCTTTCCTTTCAGCTATTGGACTGTTCTATAATTTTAGACAGTGTTCTTATCAGTCAGACCTTGTTATTATTTAGATGCTCATGTACTCAGTGACACCAGGTTTTGGGAATATATTTTTATGTCAGTAAGCATGAGATTTTCTATGAAATTCAATAATATATTTTCAAACTTAATTGAAATTGCGGTTATTGAGGTTGTCGGCTTGCCTAGTATTGAGATAGGCGTCATCACGACAGCTTAGGATTTTTGGGTCGTGACACCCCTCCCCCATCCCCCAAATAATTGTAGAAATATAACCTTTTTTGGGTGATGTTTTACTTTTGACCCCTGCTTGTCCCATTGGTAGAATTTGAAACTCTAAAGTTAAAATTGTTACACCTGGCGTAAGTGTGAGGCAACATTTATTAAACTTAAAGTTATGCCCATGGGGCAAGTGGGGATAAAATTTTAAGACCATCTGCTTTTTAAGGGCTATTTATGTACTTTACCCCACACGATAACATTAGGGGATTATCAAAATTAGTCCATAATGATATGGCAAGCAAGCAGGTTCGGCCGGGCATGATATCCCAAATTAACCTGTCTAAAAGACTTGTAGTAAAAGTTAAGCTAGTTTGGTCTAATTGTCAAAATATTAAATAATAATATTTTTTGTTTGATATGTTAGATAATTATAACAAAGATTTTTTAATTAGTTTTGTTTTGTAATCAAACAAGTTATAAGAAAACAAATAAAGAAACTAAAATTTGGTTAGAGTTGGATGGATTAGGTGTGATGACCCAAAATGTCATCTTTAATTTAAACATTTATTTCCGTGTTCTATGACCTCGAAAAGTACTATTCATCATTCTTCGACTTGCGTGCGCAGTCCGTATAATTTTTCGAAAAGTTTTTATATGAAAAATTGATTAAAATGTGAAATAGAGTTTTAAAACTTAACTGAGTTAATTTCAGTCAACATTTTGAGCAAACAGATCCGGATCAGTATTTTGACAGATCCGATAGGTCCGTATCATGATTTGGGACTTGAACGTATGCCCGGAATTTAATTCGGAGGTCCCTAGCTCAAATTATGGCCATTTAACGGAAACTAGAAATTTAAAGGCTAAAGATTTCCAAAGTTTAACCGCGGATTTGACTTTATTGATATCAGACTCGGATTGAGATTCTGAAAATTGAAATAGCTCCGTTATGGCATTTATGACTTGTGTGCCAAATTTAAAATCATTGCGGATTCGTTTAATATGATTTGGCACGAGTTCTGCTTAATTATTTCATTTTGAATAATTGCTTAATTAATTAAGATATTTCTGCTTAAGTTTATTCCCCGAGTAAGTCCGGATTGGCACGAGTACTTATGTGTTGTGGTTGAGTTAAAGCATGTTGAAGGAATTTATTTCATTTTGAATAATTGCTTAATTAATTAAGATATTTCTGCTTAAGTTTATTATTGATTATTTGATCATTATTTATGAGATTTTTATTAATTTAATTATTGTTGAATATGGCGAGAAAGAGTGTAAAAGCACGAGGGTGATGCAGTGCCATTTTTATTAATTATACTATCATTGTCGTGGTGAGAAAGAGTGTAAAAGCACGAAGGGTGTTGCCGTGTCATTTTTGAGTGTAAAAGCACGAAGGGTGATACCGTGCCATTTTCAGAGAGTATAAAAGCACGAAGGATGATGCCGTGCCAAAAGAGAGTTAAAGCGCGAAGGGTGATGCCGTGTCATTATTATTATTTATTTATCAGTTTATGGGAGGAATGAGAGTAAAAGCACGAAGGGTGGTGCCGTGCTATTTTCATATTATCAGTTGCTCATTTTATTGTTGATGAATTAATTGGCTGCTAAGTAATACTTCTCTTGCTGAAATTATTATATCATTCCCCTTCACATATCCCCTCCCAATTTATAAGTTATTATTTATTGTATTATTATTGCTTTGTATCTGTATATACTTGCACAAGTTGTTTACGTATGTGTTTGTCATAGCCTCGTCACTACTTCGTCGAGGTTAGGCTCGACACTTACGGAGTACATGGGATCTGTTGTACTCATACTACACTTTGCACTTCTTGTGCGGATTTTAGAGTTGGTCCCAACGGCGTACCATAGACTTGCTCGGATTCAGCTACTCATAGGAGACTTGAGGTATAACTGCACAACGTTCACAGTTCTGAAGTCTCCTTCTATCTTATCTTAGTTGTGTATTATCTTTCATACAGTTTGAATTTTATTCAGACCTTTATTTGTATTATTCTAACAGCTCGTGCAATCGTGACACCAGATTCGGGGATGTATTGTGATAATTCGGTAGTTATGGTCGTCCGCACTTTATTTCATTAATTGACTTCTGTTTAATTTAATTTGCTTAAAAATAGTTAAGATTATTTTAACGTTGGCTTGCCTAGTGAAATATTAGGCGTCATCACGATCCCGAAGGGGGGAATTTCGGATCGTGACATTAGACTATCACTCATTATTTTTAAGAGGGAGGTATATTTTGCCACTCGGTTAAAAAAATTTATAGTTCCAAGCCAATACTCATATATTATACATTAATTATATTTGTTGGCTATTTATGAACCAATGGCTATTTAAGTTATTACTCATTATTTAACTAATCTCGATTCAGCCCATCAAACCCAACTAAACTTTGAAATGGTTAATTTAGCTTAATCCCATTCAACATCCCGTAAGTAAAATTCTCATTTCGAGAGAGAGATCACGAGGATAATACTCAATTTTGGAACATCGCGTAAGTCTTGCCATTCTAATTTGGTTATAATAGAAAATCAAAATATATTACAAAGACAACTTGAAAAAAAGTTTCAGGAACAGACACTAACTAAAGTACGTGAAACTTTTATTGCTCAATTTGATAAATTTTCTATTGCAAATAATATGATTGCGCCGTCTAATATACACCTAGCTTTTTTGTTTTCTAATTATTCTCCAAACATAAATAGTGGATCTGCTTATTTCTCCCTTTTTGATAATTTAGTGTGGTTTGGATGTTTAAAGGTGGCGCCGGAATTTGAAGTTTTGCGGGTTCGAGATTTTTAGTCTCTTTAAGTTATTTTATTTTATATTAATAGTTTGTACATATTTGATAATTTTCATACAATAAATATATTGAATATGGACCAAAGTTACTAAGTTCGACCAGAACCCATTAGCTGTATTGTAGCCCCATCTCTACTTGAATTGTAAATTCGCGGGCAGAACTAAAAGAGAGTTGTAGGATTCATAAAATAGTCTACTCTAAATTTGAAGAAAATAAACAATATGGAAATATATTATCACAATATATTGTACAACAAAACATTACATGACCAACCATCCATAAGAACCGAATGGCTTTATTCATGCTTGTTACAAGCAAGGTCTAAAAGAGCAAGATTATTACATCTTGTCAAGTTATATACACTAACTGCATATATAACTTAAACTCTTTATATATTACACATAATGATCAGTTGTGAGGCTGGGCTTCAGTGACTTTATCAATGGCCTCACCTGCGTAGGAACAACACCTTTTGCAACCATTGTAACCTTTCCTACAGCAACCATAGCGGCATCCTCTACGTTTATAACCACCACCACCACGGCCGCGACCACCACCATAATATCCATCACTGCCAGCGCCATTGTATCCGCCACGTCCGTCAACATATACTCCATTCTCGTTATCCAATTTCATTGCTGCATCTATTATGAAAATTAAAACATAGTATTTCATATGTTTCAATTTATGTGTCGTTCTTTCCTTTTTATTATATTTTAAAATAAATACTCTTTCTATATTTAACCAATAAGTAAGTTTTAAGTTCCAACATTCTCATTTTTACCCTTTATGACTCTCCTTATACAACACATGTTTAATACTATAAGATTCAAATCAGGGGCGAATTTATGCATGAGGTTGGAGGTGGCACGCAACCCGATCACTCGAATAAAATGTTATATATTTATATTAGTAGTTTCCTCAAAATATCCTACATAAACTAAGTGTGGCACACCATGTCACAAAATGACCGTAGGTGCCATGGTTGAAGCCTTGAAATCACATCTTTGTTGTTCATTGTTTGGTACAATCCCATTTTATTATTTATTTAAATTGTATATCTGCTTCCTTTATTTTTTTCCGGATCTTCAAATTTTATTTGGATGTAATTTAATCATCTTTTTTTTTTTTACCCATCTAATGTTACTTATTCTAGAGTGTTGCAGTAAAGACATAATATTAATCAGTCATCCGTAGATTGAAGAAGCGTATCACATATTCATTCACATATTTATTTATGCATTACAAAATCTTTCAAATTGAACAGAATTAAATGGATCGAACTGAACCGAACCAAATTAATCCAAAACGGATCGAATCGAATAAACGTACACCCTAATTCAATCTCCTTCACCATTGGTTGGTTTGCATTAAAATAGTGACTACAAATCCTAGATCCGCCTCTGATTCAAATGACATTTTTGGTATGTTTTTATACAACTTTAGTTTAAGATCACAAGATTCAAAAGTTAACTTCGTATCCAGTCAAATTAAGACACATAAAATAAAATAGTGAGAGTATATAATAAGAATTATGATCAAGCTAAAGCGTTAGTAAATACAAAAGTGTAACTCATCTACTAGCTCTATGTGGAATTCAAATTAAGCTTTACTAGCTGATAAACACTAATTTGAAAGGTTAAAGAATGTTTAATGTTACAACATGTTAAAAACTTAAAATATACTAATAGCGTACAATTATTTTAAAGTTTCAGCAGATATAATTAGTTAAACCCTATACCAAATAATGAGATAAGAGATTTTTATTTTTTCAGAGTAAAATGAAAGTAAGCTTACAGTTGGAAGTCTCAGCCAACTCCGCAGCTACAACCTCAGAGCTTATCAGGAAAAAAATAGCCAAACAAAGGCCAAGAAACAGAAATGCCTTAGAACCCATGTTTTCTCTTTTGTTCAAAGCTTAGTAATGATACTTTTGAAATTAAGGGATGAAGAAACTTATGTAATCTTGGGTTCTATTTATAGTAAGATTTGAATGCATAAATAGTTAAAGGGAAGGGTATACTAGGACGCGTGAGGGAAAATGTACATTATTGTGTGGACCAAAGGATACGAAGAAACCCGGTCTACAAGTGGCAGTAAAGAGAGTGAACGCGAAGCCGGGCGAAATGCAACAATAGTCACATTTAAGCAGGTTATTTAAAATATATTCATAATTTACAATGTATTTAAAGATTAATCAATTCACCCAAACTTCAGGATTAGGTATCCTGAATTTGAAAATTTAGGACTTATTAGTGTCCTGAATTTTTGAGCTGTTAATTTAAAATTCATGACTAAGTGTCCTGAATTTCTGAACGGCTAATTTAAAATTCAGGTCAAGATTAATTGTCAAACAAAGAAAATATTTTCACAGTCCAAAGAAATTAAGAACCTGATCTAAGAATGGATTGTCAAATAATCTAGGTCAAGATTAGTTTATTATAATGTTCTACCTTAAGTTGCGCTCCCTGGTAGGACTAATATATATATTACACACTTTTCGTTCCAATTTAAATAATATATTTTTCTTATTAATTCGTTCGAAAAAGAATAATATATTTCTATATTTAAAAGTAATTTAACTTTAAACTTTTTATTTTACTCACTTTATTCTAATGAGAAACTTTTAGAGCTATACAAATGTTGCGTCCACAAAGCTTTTGTCCCTTAAATTTTTTTGACTATTTCTTAAATTTTGTGTCAAATCAACTTATATTATTTTAATTGAAACGGAGAAAATAACTTTTATGGCATAAAAAGTATTTTGTGCCAAGAATAAGTATTTGAGAGAGAACTGGAAGAGTGAAACCACGTGCAAGGGGTTGCTGGCCTACAAATTAAAACATGAGTGAAGAAACAGATAATGCAGTAGAAGATGTCAAACAATTACTTATCTGTTGACTTATCAAAGGCTGTTCATATTTGGCCTTTTCCCAACTTGCATTCACAGACGCCATTTATATCAATTACGTAAATAATATAATTTTAATATATTTATTTCTAATTAAAAATTTATGAGTTTGAACTTAAGAATGAAATCGCCTTTAATAAAAAACGACTTTATCTCTATAGAGGTGTTCCAATCTGATATGAACACCGTGGGAAAAGAAAAAAAAAGATACTCCACGTATAGTGGTGGAATCACGGTCAACCAAAGAGTGTCAAGCGATACTCATTCACTAATAAATTAGATTGTATTGCTAGATAAATTTTTTTATTTTATGTATATTTACTAAAGATTGACTCTATTCCGCTGAGTACGTATTAGTCAGAAATCATGGCTCAAACTGCAAAAGTCTTCTCAACCTTTATTATTATTATTATATTTATTTATTATTCTTTTTTTTTTGTGCTTCTTCTCAACCTTATGTCTACGGGTCCATTATCCATATTAATGGTTAGCCATTTATTAAACCTTGTCCTTAGAACGCATCAATATGACCAAATGGCTTACGTACACCGACCTACAAACCAAACTAAAAAAAAGGATGTATGGTAACTATATCAAAGAATATTAAATTAAAATAACTTAAAAATAAAACGTGAAGGTATCTTCCCTTTTTTGCGGGGGTTAATTTTTACCCGGTATCTAGTACTTAGAGGGCTTGATTAAAATTAAATTTGAGCCGAAATATTATGCATTGAAAATATTTTTTAATAAAGACTACTCTATATTTAGAATTCGAACTAAAACTCTTAATTAAGAATGAAAAAGTAATTACCGATCATACTATCACGACCCTTATTGGTTATAGGTATGTAATAATTCAATCGTAAGATATCTAAACACAAAGGGCATCAGGGGAGACGACAGAACTTGTGGGGTGATAATATCATAATACATTGAATATTGATATATTACTGGAAAATCATGCAATAAAGAATTTTTATGTTTGCTCAACTTGTAGGACTACCTTATCCTAAAATATCTAAAAATAGTGGTGCATATATACTCTTTTGATCTGTTCAATACCCAAGACTTAAATGACGTACCCAATGACTCTTTATATGTTTCAAGTCAAACAAGAGGGACAACTTCTTTTTTCTTCTTTTTTTCCTGATTTTTCACTTAGTGTTCGGTATGTATATTTGGGCTCGATTAAATTTAAATTCATATTGAAATTTCTATTTTGACGGGTAAAGCGCTTCGTTGCTTCCTAACGAAAATGAATTCATATTCTGAACTTGAACTTGAAATCTCTAATTAAAGATGAATAAATATTTGTAACTCAACCACAATCCGTATCGGTACCGATAACTCTCTTCATTTGCTTTATAACTCAAGAAAAGTCTTCTAAAATACGAGCGACAACGAAACAGGAAAAAAGAAAAGAAAAGATAAATAAACACTCATTCAGTTTTCATCGCTTTTGTTTTCCTGAAACGATAAATACAAAAGAAACTTTTTTCTTTTTGTATTTCTATAATAAGAGTCTTAGGGCATGTTTGGTTACCAATATTGGGTAAAATAATCTCGTTATTAAAGAGTATTCTTTCATACATTAATTGGTTGCCACTTAATACAAATATTAAATTACTTAATCATGATAAGTTAATATAATTTAATGTAAATATTTTGCAGACAAATTTTTTATCATGTTATTGCCATGTTACTGAAGAATAAAACATGATTCATAGCACAACTAATATATTAGACTAACACTCATGATGTGTATAAGTATGACAACGATAAAAGCATCTTCTAACTTGGTAGTTTAATTTTGAGTTCCCCTTTTCATTAAAATTATTTATTAGGGTTATAAGAGGATATATACCTAACAAAGTATTGGTGTTTAGGCGTTTAGGCTACAGTTGGGCTCCTGTGTTGAATATCAACAATGTAATATTCAGTTTTAACTTTATTTTTAGTTTGTACTTGTAACCATTTTTGTTTTTTTGATTTGATGATTCGTCATTTTACTTAAACACGTGGACAACAATAGTACAAGTACACGAAAAAAGTCAGGTTTAACTAAGTTATCATATATAAATAGAGAAACATGACATGAATATCCATTCATAAAAGCAAATTTAGAATTTAGAATTTAGAATCACAATAGATTATCAGAATGGCTGTGATTTTTGTTTATTGTAAGAATTAGTTTGTTATCCATGTGGGGAAGTCCCACGTCGGTGACCTAAAGCAAACTTATGGGCATTTTAATTTCGTGTCCATATACATTTGATTAAGAATATACTCAATAATGATAAAGAATATGTGCACATGCATTTACAAATAAATATTATTTTGTTAAATACCTGTGCTTGGTTGGGTCGGGTATTAAATTAATATTTTTGTTTCTATAAAAAAAGTTAAGTTTATTTGAATTTTTAAAATAAAAATAAACATACACTTCTATTAATGAAATAAAGTGACCTTCCGAAAAAAGCTTTACCTGCTCTATAAAAAAAACATGAGAATCCCTACAAATACCGCAGAAGGAGCTAAGTTCTTGCCATGGATGACTGCGAGCCATATGTATACATAGTTGGAGCTATATCATCGAAGATTATTAATGATACTAACTTTTATTTATACTTCCAACAATAAAACTACTACATTATACTTTACTACTCCCTCTGTTTCAATTAGATAAGATAGTTTGACTTGACACGGAGTTTAAGAAAGAAGAAGAAGGTTTTTGAAACTTGTGATCTTAAAAAATTTAAGGGGTAAAAGCTTTGTTGGGCCATGACATTTGTGTGGTTATAAAAATTTTCATTAAGAGTTAAATGGGTAAAATGAAGAGTTTAAAGTTGAATTATTTTCAAATTTAGAAATATGTCCTTTATTTTGTAACAGACCGGAAAGTAACTCACGGAGGAAAAGTAACTCACGGAGGAGTACTACTAAAACTTCGTATTTAATTAATTAGCCACCTTGATATTCTTGATATATGTTCCTAATTTTAGTAATTAGTTGTGAGGCCATCATCCATAACTATTGCCACCATTATATCCTCCTTGTTCCCTCCGCTATAACCTCCACCAAGGAAATCCACCATATCCTCCTCCTGGATAACCTCCAAAACCACCATTGCCGCCGCCAGGGTTTCCTCCATCTCCTCCTCCAAATCTGCCTCTGAATCCTCCAAAGTCCAAGTCTTTTGCATCATTTACATGATCATTTTTCTCCTCGAATACCTTTGCCGCAACAATGATCATACATGAGTTAAAAAACAAAATTGCACTTCATGGTGTCACGACCCAAATCCTAACCTGTCGTGATGGCACCTATCGATGGTACTGGCAAGCCGTCATTTCTCAAATACTTTCAATAGTTAACAGAAAAGTAAATCAAGACATTTGAAATAGGCAGGTTTTCATAATCAGGGGATAAAACCCAAAATACAAGTGCGAAAATAGCTTCCAATGTCGAGGTGTCACTAAGCCATGAGCATCTATACATAATCAGTCTAGAAATGAAACGACTGTAATAGTTTGGATCCAAATACAACGAAAGAAAGGATAAGGAAGGAGAATCAGGGACTGCGAACGCAAGGCAGCTACCTTGATATCTCCAACGGTCAGCTACGTGAAATATCAACACTCACCGCGTCCAAAAACTCCTGGATCTGCACACGAAGTGCAGGGTGTAGCGTGAGTACAACCAACACAGTAAATAACAATAATAAATAAGGAACTGAAAGATAGTGACGAGCTACACAGTTATAATTCATTTTCAGTAGTCTCAACAAGAAAAATAGACATGCTTTCAAATCCAGCAAATTTAGTCAAATTAGTTTATTCGTGCCAAATTCAAGTAAAAACCAGTTAAAGTATCCTTCAGAATTTTTTTTAAAAACAAACAGTGAAGTATGGCAACGATGTTGTGATGACCCAAAATATCATCTTTAAATTTAATAAGTAATTCTGTATTCTAAGACCTCGAAAAGTACCATTTATCATTCTTCGACTTGCGTGCGTAGTCCGTATAATTGTTTGGAAAGGTTTTATGTGAA